TTCCTCTGCAGGGTGGCTGGGCTCTCCCTTAGAGAGAGAAGCTCGGTCATCCGGGAGGGACTCAGAGTAGAGCCGCTGCTCCTCCACATCGAGAGGAGCCAGTTGAGGTGGCTCGGGCATCTGGTAAGGATGCCTCCTGGACGCCTCCCTGGTGAGGTGTTCCGGGCACGTCCCACCAGGAGGAGGCCCTGGGGAAGACCCAGGACACGCTGGAGGGACTATGTCTCTCGGCTGGCCTGGGAACGCCTTGGGGTTCCCCCGGAGGAGCTGGAAGAAGTGGCTGGGGAGAGGGAAGTCTGGGCCTCCCTTCTGAAGCTGCTGCCCCCGCAACCCGACCCCAGATAAGTGGCAGAAAATGGATGGACGGATGGATGGATTTACACAAATATAGGCCAGAACACTTTCAGAATCCTTAACATACAGTATATTTACAACCTAAATTATAATGTTTGCTCAACTCAATTTTATTAATTTACTTCCAATAATCTATCCATTTTTTTGTAGTATTTCTCTTGGCAGTGTGGATTATCGATGTTTTGATCAATCAGATTTCCATCTCTGTGTGCTGCAAGGGATAATCTAATCCAGTGTTTTCCAACCCCGGTCCTCAAGGCACACTGTCCTACATGTTTTAGAGTTTTCCCTGCTTTAATGTGCCTAATTCAACTGATTGCAGCTCAGCAAACTCCGTTTAATCAGTCATCGATTGAAATCATCTGGACTGAAGCAAGGAACTACCACTGCAGGACAGTTGTCGTGAAAACTGGCATAAGGTGGTGAGTTCTTTCCAGGTACACGCAGAAAACGGAGTAAAGGCCTGACAAATAACAGTAATCTTGCATATTGATTTAATGATGATAAAAGATGAATAAAAATACATACATATGTAATGGTTGGAATGGTCTGTAATGTATATTTGAAATATATATTCTGTATTCTTGATCTGTAGTAACAGGAACAACTTGATTGTAGTATGTTGATTATTGATGATTAGAAACAGTAACAGTTTGAGTTACACAATGTATAAATGATGGAGAATCATACTGAGAGTTATAAGTTGATACAGTGACAAATTGATTATGTTTTATGTGTTTTATGGTTTGTGAGAAATGAAGGCAGGTTCTGTTCTCAGACTGTGTCGCAATTAGTACACTGAGCTGGGCGGGGGTGCTGGAAAGGCTCAAAAAGGGAAGTCGATGACCAGATGGCCAGTGGAAAAAGGGAAGTACCGAACAGAGTTGCTGCAATGAGTCACGAAAGAGATGATGGTTGGGAAAGGTTGGGGCTTTCCACAGACTCATCAGAATGTTCCAGAAGTCACGTAGACCTCTCCCATACACAACCATGGGCTGAGAGGGTATAAAAACCAGCAGACAAGGGAAGAAACTGTTCTTTGTCCGCGGCGCTGAAGGTGAACCAACAAGAGGACGCAGATTGAAGACCAGCAGAGGACCGTACCCTGGAACCAAGGGGAAGTTGAGACTTCACACCGCTAAGAAGGGACAAGATCCATCTGCCCCCAGCCCTGGTTCCTGATTCGACCAACCCCTCTGCCTCAACCCAACGATCCCTACTCTACTCCAGCGGACTTGGAGAAAAGACAAAGGTCACGGAGTGACGAAGATTCTGTACGTTTGAAGGACAACGCACAGTTCTGCGTTGCTTCTATTCTGAAAGGGGACTTTGCCACAACAAGACAAAGACTCTGACCAAGGACACCTGAAGATTTCTGCTGTCGGGATCAATTGCCATCTGGGTGTGAGTTGAACTGCCCCCCAAGAGCCTCGCTTAGTTAAACTAGTGACACAGTATAGGTATAGAAATGAAGATAGGTTAAAATTGATTTAAGTTGAATTTATTTTCTTATTGCAAATTTGTAATCTCTGAAAGTGAATCTGCTTGTCATTTATCCCTGCTAAAGCTTGCTTAATAAATTACATACTAAAAATTCCAATGAAATTTGTGGACATTGAGATTAATTGAATCATTTGATCATTGTAGTTTCACCTGATTGCAGTAAAATTAGCGTACATGATTCTAGAGATGTGGTGGCTTCGTACTTTCCTTTGGTTAGTGTGAAAATAATGACCCTGGGACTTAAGTCTAAGTCACTAAATCTAATCTAGCCGGTAACAAGTGCCGTTATTTTAAGGAAAAGAGCTACCGTTAACAGGAGTGGTTGTTGGAGCTATGCAGCTGTGAGAGCTACTCAGCTGACTGTTTCTCAACTGAAAAGGGTCATAACTTCTGGATTGTAGGTAGTTGGAGCTAGACGAGTCTTTTCCGCCACCAGTTTAAATAGAATATCTCTTATAAACCGACGTTGGGGTAAGACCCGGGTTTCAGAGATTTTCCGGACCTGTTAGACAGAGAACTGGTCAGGTCAGTAGTCAGTCGAATGAGTGGTGAGATAAGGGCGGGGCTATTGCGTAATAACAAACATGGCGTCCCTGGGTGGGTTGTCCAAATGAGTAGGAGGGCCCTACTTTTACCAAGTCAGTAAAAACAGATGTGAGGATCTGAATAGCTCACTTGGGAAACTAGCTCTTAGGGAATAGAGTTAGTGGTGACTGATAAGGCCGTCAGTCACAACCCTTGCAGTAACTGTATAGCATACAGGTGAGGGAAAGCTTCTACTGAAGATAAACGATCGTATCCAGACGTGAAGCCAGTAGCCAACATAGCCTAGACCCATCCCTGCTCGATAGCTTAAGAGAGGCTTTGGGGGATAGGCGACTCGAAGACAAAAGACAACCATGAGTGAGGATAAGGAAGAAGAACTGGAGCTCCCGCAAGTCAGCGGGAGCTCCAGTTCCCGCTGACTGGAGCTCCCGCTGGGGCAGGAGACAAGTGTCACCAGGACAAAGGGAGGAGCACAAACTTTTCACTCCGACTCTGTCTTGCAACGACTCCCCGTGATGCTGATACTGCTCGGAGATGGACTGGATTCCTGGTCAACGACAAACCAACAGAAATTCTACAGTCGCCATTATTATAGCGACCCGGAGATTGATGGAGACCATGATGGAGACCATGATAGAGCATCGGAAGATCTACTATTGTACCCAGCTTAAAGATGGTCACCGACTGGGGGTCGTCAGGTGCCCGATTAAAGTCACCAAGAAGACAGAAGTCAAAGAGTGGTTGGAGTGGTTTGCCGACCTCCTAGAAGGATGGACAGATGGCGAGCTGCGGATCATCTACAGTCCTTCTGAAAAATATGACAGTATAGTGAAGACAGCGTCGTTGGCTGCCGGCATAGACGGGATCTTGGAGAACCCCTTGGCCCGAAGAGTGCCCCATTACACCGAGTGTACTGAAGTCCTGCAGAGACTTGCGGCATGTAAAGAGAACAAAGTGAAAAAGCAAGTACCGGACCCTGAGGAATCGGAGATGTCTGAACCCCCGTCCCAACAAACCAGCCGAGACCCGTCGCCCCAAAGGAAACAAGACCTGATAGATCTGACCGGGGGCGGCTACGGAGGGGGCCGAGGGATGCCCGGGCCTTCAAAGGCCCAGGAGGAACCCCTTGAACCATCGAGTCGGGGAGCTGATGGTGGACCATTTGCTTACAGCCTCACTGAGGGGCAGTGGAGGGCAGAAGCGAAAGAATGGTCTCTTCGGCGTAACACAACGGGTGAGTTCCAGCCACAAGCACACAGCACGGAAAGAAAGCCGTCAGCTCCTCCACGACAGCCATCTGGAAGCAGCTCAGATGATGAGAGAGACAGACGAAAGAGGGGAAACCGGCAGCCCCAAAAAAAAGACCCAGAAATCGAGCACCCGGAAAATGTCCCGAGAACTGGCTCCATTACCTTCAGGGATCATCAGTGTTAAGCTGCAAACCGGGCTCAAAGTGCATTGATACATTGGGGAACCGTGGGACATCGAAGGCGATGGACTGATCGCATTCACCAATAACAGGTACAAGATCCACAACCGAAAGTTCAGATCAGACCTCAAACTCCAAGCTGGGGGAGACTACCAACGGGACCTGCACCTGCTGAGAGCTACGAACAGCGCAGCGACCAAGGGGGAGGTAGTTATGGTGAATGGCTATAACCTGACCTATGGTGCAGTGATCTTGGTTCCGATCGACGCTTACAAGAAGAGAGACAACCTCGAGGATTACCGGAAAAAGATAACTATTGCGTGACTATTGCGTAATAACAAACACAGTGTGCCTTGAGGAATGGGGTTGGGAAACACTGATTGTTCGCTCTGAGACTTAATCTACTCAGAGCCTTCAGAATCCATAAGGCAGGCCATAAGGCAGGCCTACTGACTAAACAATCAGCTGTCAAATTCACCTCACAGAGCATCCTAGAATGCCTATAATGATGTCAGACGTTTTGTGCCCTCTGACTGGATAGTCAGAGTGAACAAATTAGTCCCAAGTCCCAAACTTGAGGCTTCAGCAATCTGCGATGCGCATATCAATATTTGTAAATTGTGTTGTTTATTTTTTTTATGGCCAGAGCAGGAGATGATGAAGGAGAAATTGACTTGACCTCTCAAGTCAATAAAAACCAACTTTCAAGACTTGACTTTTTCCAAAGAACTGGGCATTGTGAAGATATAGCAGCCAATGGTACCAGTAACATACTCTGATCGCCTCTGAGGAGAAAATTATATTGCTGGGAATGTCTTTGCAAGTGAAAGACTTAGTGGTTGGAGGAACAGAGGGTTTGCCAATTTGAGTTGTCTGACCAAGGCAGCGGAGCGACAGCAAGCCACTTCCAGACTTTTGAGTGCTTTTAAGAAAAGGTAGCGAAGCCAGAGTTTAGCTCCAGCTCTGGTCTTGTTTATGTAGAGTGGACATTCTCTACTGTATGCCAGACATATAGCAGGACAAAGGTGGCTTGAAGTGTTGGCCTCCATGACCATCGAATGAGAGATGGTAAGGGGCGGGGGCTGTGAAGATGGAGGCCTGAGTGAGGGGGGGTTGAATGAGAGATGGTGGGGCTCTAATGAGCCATCAATGTGGCTCATTAGCGTCTCATTGATGACTGTATGTTGAAGCACTGAGGAGTTAGTCATTTGAAGTTTGTATATCAGGTGTTGTCCAAGTGTGCCATTTGGAGATGCCAAATGGAGACTCTGAATGGCACACTTGGACAACACCTGTACATCCTCATAAATAAAAATGTCCAAAATGACATTTCTTTTTGTGTTATTTTGATCAATCTTGAAATTCATGAGCAGAATACTTTATTTTACAGAGTTATTGTATTTTCCAATCCATACATTCAACACTCAATGCTGAGTGTTGAATAAATAAAACTGAAAAATCTGGGTGAAGCAAAATTTTTCAATTTTTTTTTTGTGTTACAAATGTATTAGCTACAAACTACTTACAGTCAGAGTATTTTTGACTGCAAAAATTGAAAATTTAGCTTGTCTTCATAAAGAGTCCAAGCATTTGCATGTACTCCAAATTGTTCAAGAACAGCAGCTAATTTAATTTGGGTATGCCTTTTCAGCCGTTTTTGGGACCGCCAGTTAAGGGGTTAATAAGTTGCAAAGATTTTTCTGAAAACTTTTACCAGAAGAATGACAGCAAATAATTGAACATGACATAAAACATGTCAAGAAAGACACAGTACAAGGAAACCCTGTAGAGGTTCATTACCACCAAAGACAGGAAGAGATGGCTGCTCTGAAAATAAATGAACTAAGCAAAAGTCAAGCTGCTTGAGGGGGAGAAAAAAACCTGAAATGCAAAATATGATTGCATTAGCTGCAGGGCAGAATATCAATTGCCTTGGTCTATAATTTAATAAGTCTCTAATTAAGTTAGTGTCCAACTTTTTGGAGCCTGTCTGACTCACTGGGGAGTTTGTCCCAGTCTGCAGAAGCTCTGTGCTGAGCTGTCTGCCTCCATCCTCACTCCTCCATCTCATAATGACAGTGGTAGCAGAGATAAGTGAAATATGGCAAGTCAGACTGGACTAACTGTCTTCCTTAAGCTCCCTGCTACAAGGTAGGTCACATCAGACGGCCGTTTACTCTGCGGTCGGACACATCAAGTCTAATGAGCCACAACCAGATGGAAACAGATCATTAATGATGACCTGATATTGCAGTCTCAGGGGATAATAACTAATGCAGTGGTTCCCAAACTTTTTCTTCTGCGCCCCCCCAGTGGTTTCCAAACATTTTCTGCGCCCCCACCCTATG